TATTTGTTCTATTTCTTTAAAAAAATGCCAATGGGATTTTGATGGGGATTACATTAAATCTGTATAATGCTTTAGGTAATACAGTCATTTTAACTATATTGATTCTTCCAATCCAAGAACAAGGAATATCTTTCTATTTCTTTGTATCTTCTTTGATTTCTTTTAATAAGGTCTTATAGTTTTCATTATATAGGTCCTTCACATGTTTCATTAAATTTATTCCTAGGTATTTTATTCTTTTTGTTGTAATTGCAAAAGGAATTATTTTTCCACTTCTTTTTCTGACACTTCATTATTAGAGTATAGGAACGCTATGGATTTTTGAATGTTGATTTTGTATCCATAAACTTTACTGTATTTGCTTATTGTTTCTAGTAGTGTTCTTGTGGAGTCTTTAGGGTTTTCTGCATAGAATCATGTCATCCACAAATAGTGACTGACTTGAACTCTTTAATCCATCTGGGTTAATTCTAACCACAGTCACAACCTTTGACCTTTAATTTAAAATAAATATATGCAAATAGAGAAATCAGCTGCATGCCATCTCTATGCTTAAAATTCTTGGAATATCCAGATGGAACATTTGAATATCTGACAGGCCCTTCTATGCTGATACTTAAAACTTTAAGAGAATCACTGGTGTTTAGCTTCAGGATTACAAATATACTCACATGCTGTCAAGTCAAAGCTGATCAAATTCTAACAGCCAACAAGAGGCATTTTCATAAAGAACAATGAAATCTAAGGCTTGGTAACCTCCCTTCATACCTTTGGGCCCTAAAGGTGGTAACAGCTGTGCTGCCATCATGTTCATGCCACTCCTACACCCATCCTTAACTTTGTAATTGGTTATAGTTAGCCCTTGGGAGATAAACCTCCTGTGATTATCCTAATTTGAATGTGCCATCTGTTTTCTGTTGGAATCCAGACTAATGCAAACATAGTTTTTAAATAAATTTTGGTTCAGTCACACTGTGAAATACTTTTCAGGTGTTAAAAAGAATCAAGCAGACCCATATGTCTCTAAGACAACATAGTATTCAGTAAAAAGAGCACAATATAGAAAAAATTATATAGTATGGTCCCATTTATGGAAAACAGACATACACACATATGTGTATGTACGTGTGTGTGTGTGTGTGTGTGCGCGCGCGCGTGTGTGTGTGTAGACAAAACAGAGCAGAAGGATTCATATCAAACAAGTTTTTTTTTTTTTTCTGTGAAAAGGAGTAAAAATTGTGGGGAAATCATGAATGCTTGTTTTGGCTTTTTTGGGTAACATTTGAACTTTTGCAAGCAAATGTATTCATGTAAACTGTGTATGATTTAAAAAAATAAAAACTCATTGTACCTTAGGGGGTTGGAGTAAGGCTTTACTTACCCTATGTCACTTTATCAGTCAGAGATCAAAGCAGAACGTAGACACCAAATCAGACAGAAAAGAACCTTACTACGAGGAATTTAGTTCTTATAAAATCACTGGAAGATTGGATGAATGGGCTCTGGACCAACACTCAATGAATGACTCTCTCAGAACACCAAGGACCCACCTACAGGGATTCTAACTTTGCCATCATAATCAGATAATCAGAAGTGAAGGAAGATGGGAGCTACCACTGAAGAAAAAAAAAAAACACCAACAGAGCAGTAGTCAGACTGTCAGAACCAGAATCAGGAAACTTCTGCTGTCACAACTTTTGGACATCCAGGAAGCTGATGCGTGGATACTGGATCCCTGAATCTGGTGGCAGCTGCTGCCTCCAAGACAACTATCATTCGGTACCCACCATCTTGCTTTCCAGTGGGAACATCCAAAGACAAAAAGAAAGTGGCTTGTTTTCCTTTTGCCTTCCAAGTCTCACCTGCATACATCTCTCTGGTAAAACCGATTTGCATCCAGAACTCTAGCTGCAAGGCAGTCTAAGGAATCTTTACCTTTTTTCTTTCCAGGCTCTGAAGGAAGGTGGAATGGAAGTTACACAGTGAAAGTGGCAACCAATCAGCAAAAAAAGGAAAATGAGGCTAGATCAAGAAGGGCCTCATGTGAAAACTTAATGAGTTGCTATAGAGTCAGAAGAATTCGAAGAAGGGTTTTGCCACGATCGAATGCGGGTTTTTAGAAAATACTTTTGACGGTGTTGTTTAAGAATGGGTTGGACAGACTGACCCAACATGAACAACAAGTTCAGTTTTGAAGATTTGGTGGGTTTTGGAGAAAAAAAAAGAAAGATCAAATTTAGGAGACATTTTAGAGTTAAGACCAGCAGCACAGGGGACCAAACAGTAATAGATAATATGTTAGGAAGAACAGAACAGAGGCAACAGTTGTTTTGGGGAAGGGGGTCCTAGGTGGATAGAGTGGGGATAGTGAAGGAAGGCAAGAACTCCAGCCTAGCAAGGAACACATATCTGTACCATGCATGTGGCCACTATTTGATACAAAAATAACTGACATGTCCCTGTGCAGTTCCTGACAGACGTGGGAGGCTCTGAAAACTTCATAAATAGAACTGATCCTGGGAATTAGGTGTCCACATAGCCAAACCCATTCTCATGACTCCTACAGAGGAAACATTCATATATCTTCACATTTGAAAAGTACAAGTCAATTGCCCTAGAGTTCTTGGGCATCTTTTTTATCTGATAAGTACTCTAAAGCTCCAAAGGCCTTTATATCTATTATTTAAGAGTTTTCCCCTTATTTTACCATCTTGATGAGCCTCTGAAGAAGGAACCCCTACTTTGGTCACTATCCATGGATAAACAACTGGAAAGAACCCTCTGACAGAACTATGCACTACTCACTACTACTCACTCCATGCCCTGCTTCTTCCTGCTTCTTCAGGGGAGTAGCTCCCAGTGACAGCTTCATCTGTTATTGGCTCCACTTGTCCAAGCTCAGAATACCTTACATCACCATCAGAAAAAGGTCCCATTTGAAATAGGTCACTGGATATGCTTGAAATGTGATGTAAAAACAAATCCATATGCTTTTAAGTGTTTTTAAAGCATGAACACAGCTGTCTGGAATAACAAAACAAAACGAAACAAAACCCAGGAACTGACATTTACAGGCTGTGGATGCTGCTGCATCTACTATCCGCCAGACTCATTACTGACAGCGTTGTCATCGCCACTGCCAAAGATGCTTCCAGAACAAAATGAAAGAGTTGTTTCTTCCTGCTTCCCACCTTCCATTTTCCAGCAAATGCTTCCTATTGGCAGAACCTAACTGAAAGTCAGCTAGCAAAGGATCCTGGAAATACAGTTTTAATATATAATAAAGCACAGTAAGATGTCAATGGGGGCAGAAAGCAATTAGCCTAATGGTCAGAACAAATATTTTTACATCACCTCAGCTATAAAAGCCCTCTACCACCACCAGCACCGCCCACCCCTCACCCCAAAAAAAGTATGGCAGGAAGAGAAGGTAAAGGCAGAGTCTGAGTATTTGGTTCAGAGATCTGGAGACAGACTCCCCACCACACGTAGCTACTCTCTTCCTCCGCCCACAGTGTAAGTCTGGGTCCACCACACACATTTCATTATTTCTTCGCTTTGTGCTCTTCTCTAACTTCCAAACTCTGATCTTCACTTGGGTTCTTGAGACTCTGGTTTTGCCACTGACCTTTGTTTGACCTTGTTGACTTTGGTGCTTCAAGTTCTAGGCAGCAGTGAGACACCAGAACGATGCTTCATTCTCTTGAACAACCTTCTTGTTCGTTTCTTGTTTTTGATACTTCTAGTATTTCATTTAATGTTAAAACTATGCTAATAGGGAATTTTTATTTTTTTCAAGGCATTGTCTCTGCAATACCAGAATGTAATGTTTGCTAATGTGGATGTGGACGATGCTCGGGTAAGAATCTTAAATCCCTCCATGTAGATACGTAAAATCAGGACGCAATGTCATTGAGAACACTGTCTCAGTATTTATAATCGATTTAAGTCAAATAGAATTTCACAATGCTTTCTGGTAAACTAGAGTAAACTCCTTCACAATGTTCTTGCATGTTTTGTATTACTTAAAAACAACAGCAACAACAACACAGCAAATATGTGGCTCTCCTGCTCCTCCTCGTCCTTCCCAGACCGTGGTGGACCTCACTAATCAATCCCAGCATTCTTCACCACTTGCTCTGAACTCTACCCCAGAAACCTGCTCAGCAAAGTTGCTCTAGGCAAACACCACCAATTGGCTTGAGTTGGGCTCAAGAGCGGAAATGATTTTCACCCCCTAGAGCAGATTATTAATCAATTTCTGACTCAGTGCATTACAGACATATTAAGACATCTTGCTTTCCTCTTGCTGTACCTTGCGCTTTTTTTTTTAACATAACAAGGAATTCCAGGGAACCCTTCCTTCATGTCCTTAGAGCCTTTCTTCCTCACCCCATCCCCCCAAAATAATCAGCCTTGTGTCCTCAATCAAAATGTGCCTTATTAATACACAAAACGTGTGGTACAAACTTTTTCTTCTTAACATTTGTTCATTTATAATGCGGAAAAATTACAATAATTTGTGGCCTATGTATACATTAGGTTGAATTTTAGCATAACAAAAAAATCTGTTTTCACCCATTCTGCTCTTTAATGTGTTCATTTCTCTTGGGTATTGGACTGAAATTGTTGAGTCATACGGTAACTCTATGTTCACCTTTTTGAGGAACTGACAAACTGTTTTTCAGAGTGGTTGTACCATTTTACATTCCCACCAGCAATATATGAATGAGTGTTCTGATTTCTCCACATCTTCACCAACACATGTTATTGTTTGACTTTTTGATTATAGCTCTTTGTCTTTTATGGTGAAATAAAATGCACAATTTTCTTCCTTAAGAGTAATTTATGTATTAGTCATTGTCATTGCTGTCATATAAAAATTATAATTTAATATGTGTGTGAGTATGGGTGTATGTGTGTGTATGTTGTAGATGGCAGGGGAGAGATTTAGTGCCATGAAGTGAGAAAAGATTTAGTGCCATTAGAGAGAAAAGTCCGATTCTGTTGATCCTGTGGGCGGCTAATTTTCTTTTAACTCCTAAACAAGACAAACAAAAACTGGCATTTGAAAGCAGATTAATGGATTAAAACAATTGAAATTTTGACATTTTTCTTGTCTTTTGGCTCCCAATTTTTCACAAAGATGGGCAGTGTAAGGCTTAAAAAAAAAAAAAGAAATATGTAAGCCTTACTTAAAATGCTAGACCATTACATCACCCTATGTCTCAAGTGCAAGTTATAAAGATACCTCTGCTCTTTCTTATTTTTTGCAACATTGTCTCTCCATATTGGGTTCCATTAGGGCCTCTTTGCAATCATTCACAAGCCTTTTAAAATAGAACTCATTTAGTCCTTCAGTCCATTCTATTTTGGTCTCCATCCCTCCCTCTTCTAGAGCTCTGGGGTGAGAAAGCTCAGGAAAGCTGAGAACAGTCACTTCCTATCGTAATGCGCCTAAAGGCTTTGAGGATATGTTAGAAAAGTTCTCGGCAGGAGAATCTATAACGTGTCAGCTTTCACGGAGATTTCAGACACTCCCCCTGAGAAGTCACCAAATGCCATGCTTGGTACAGAGTAAGGAGACCAATTGTGACTTCATGCCATTTCTTTTCTTTCCCAGGAGTTGGCTCAAACTTGTAACATCAAAGCAATACCTGCATTTCAGATGTACAAGCAAACCCAAAAGGTATGTGTCCATGGTAACTGGCAGAGTTGAATTAGATTATAGAACCACTAGAGTCTTAAAAAAAAAAAGATTGAGTTATCCTGGATGACTGAAACAATTGTACTTATTTTTAATCCTTAGTAATGTTATTCTTAGTTTCTGAACTTTACAACAAGTAGAAAAAACACACGAATTATAATAAATCTCCCCATTCAGACCACCTGAGGCGTCCATAAGAAATGCATAAGAAATATCCCACTATTATCTCTATCTGTGGCAGAACCATTCAAAAAGAATCTTACAAAAAAGAATATGATGAAATTCTCACACAAATGTATACAAGTTGTTAACAGTACTCGGAGAAATGTTAATCAAAAACTATCACAAGGCAATATAGCCTGGTGGTTGACCATGCAGACTCTGGATTTTCATGGTTCAAATTCCAGATCTACCTTTTCCTAGCAGTTTACTTAACAATCTCATTGTTTCTTAATTTCTCTGTCTATATAAAACATGGATCATAACAAGTGTTTTCCCCTTACAGGGTAGTTGTGAGAAATAAATGAATTCACATGTCTAAGTTTTTAGACACATTCTGGCACACATTAAATGCACAGTATGGTATGACAGTTGTTTCCTTGAAGATATTAATGGAGCAAAATGTCCAAAATACTTGGTATGTGATGAAACTGGTAATTTTTCAATAGAAACTATTGCTGGGAGCATTGACAATTGTATGTACCTTATGAAAGGTGATTTTGCAGCAGTTAAGAGAAACAAACATTTCATTCCCTGTCACACAATTATTCCATTCTTGGGAACTTTTGTCACAGAAATACCTCAAGAAAAAATAAACAACTAAGTATATAGTAACTGTAGCGTTCTTTCTAACAAAATATGGAAGGAAGCTAAATGCCATTTTTTAGTAGAATGGCCAGATGATTTATGATACATCTACTCTGTGAAATAGTATGTAATTAAAAAGTGTTAAGAATACATGTAAAGTAAAATTTACGATAAACTTTGTAAACATTATATCAGCAATATAGAGAATGAGAGCACTTGATATGTTAGCTGTAGAATTTCATTTTCAGCTTCTATTTGTTTGTATGTATTTGCCATAATATTAGTACAATAGCTTTAAATAATGTATACAAAAGAAAATAAGACTACTCATTCCCTCTCTTGAGTTTTTACTTGAAAATTGAAGCGATTTAACATGTACATTCTTAATTTCCCCCAGTTACATGTTAAATTCTTTGCTTGTCACCTTTATTATCTTATTATCTTCTCTCTTAAAAATGAGGATGTTTTCTCCTTTTGAAACCCAGTCCATCCACTGCATCTCGATTGATTCTTCTCATTCTACTCCAGGCCTCAATTCACTGGCAAAGAGCCACTGCCCATTAGACCTTTTTAAATGCACATTGTTTGAAAAGCCTGATGACAACTTCTCCTAAAACAGAGATTCTGAAGAATATTTCCCTCTCTTGAAAATCTGCTCTGCTCCCTTGCATTCAAACAGAAGACTTAGAGAATCCCTTGGGTTTCTCTTTTTCCACTGCTGCCAAGAATCTCAGGAATACCTCTGCTACTCAAACACTGAGGTCTCCCTTAGCCAGTTTCCTGACGTTGCCTAACCACCATCCCCACACAGAATTATCCTTTCATGGTTTTGTTATTCTATTTTGCTCTCGATTCTATCTCATTTCAAAATTTTTCAAGATATATAGAATATAAACAAAATAAAACTTTAAAAAACTAAGATAAATGAAGCTATATGACCTAGGGCTATTGTCCAGTGCTGGAAGTTTTCATGCAAAGGTTGGAGGAACATCTGGCAGGGATGTGCTGTAAACAGCAGCTGTAATTATTTTACAGCGCATTGGACAGCCAAAGCATATTCCAGGCAATATATAAGGTGGGTTTGTTCTCTCCGGCTGTATTCCTTAGTGTTTTTATCTGAGACATCACATCATGTTCCAGTAAGATGGACTGTGGTTTAAAAACAAAAAGTGCATTTTTGTGGTGTCTCCCTCATAGGGCATCCAAAACCTTAGCTGGTTTTTTTGTTGTTGTTGTTAATTTTAATAAGTAGTTTATAAATTTGGTCTATAGACCCTCTTAAAATCCAATAGACTATAAACACCAGAAAAGGACACATATGCACAAAAACTGAAATGTGCATACAATACTAATGTGCATACAATATTCAATGAGCCTTTGAAGCCCATCATTGGATCCCCTTGGTTAATAATTTTGGTTCCAGATCAAAGCTGGTGTATGTCCATGGAGTAGGGGAAAGGTAAAATAACTTAGCCAGTGTTGGCCAACTGCTTCGATATGAGCCACTGTCAACAGTTGGTTCCATCTTTCATTCTTTGATATGAGAAAATAGAATAGCATTTCAGTCCACTTATAAGAGTGATGGGACATGAGTACATAGATGCTAATACACAAATTATTCACAAATGAATAATTAAGAAAAGAACTGAGTTCTCGTATTAAGTGGCAGGATACTCTTACCCTTATGCTTATGAAGCACAGAGCTCTTGCTGAGGTCATAGAAATCATTCCTAGCAAGTACCCTCCTTGCAGTAAGTACAGAATTGAAAAGAATCTCAAGTAGGTGGCACCATCCTGTGCTAAAAAGAGGAAAGTGTTGGAAGCAGAGGTAATAAACTCCATGCCTTTGAAAGTCAGGCAGAGACAATAGGTGAGCCAATAGGAAGTGAGGAGGATGGTGGTCCCTCTCAAATGCTTACTGTTCAAGTCCATAAAAAATAGTGCTTGGATTCCGGCCTTCTCCTTCAAAAAGAGTGTCCCATAGCTAGTTTTTGCCAGCTCTGATTCAAGAAGCTGTAGATTGAACTCCAGGTCTGCCTCTTATTAGTGGGTTACCTTGGCAATGTGCCTTCACCACCTTGAGGTTCAGTTTCTTGCATTATGAAATAGGGGCTACATCATGTGTCTTTGAATGATTGTCATGAAAATTTGCAGTAATGTATATAAGGTGCCTACCACTGGACTTGGTACACACTGTAAAATGTAGCGGCTATTAGGGCCCCAGGATCTATTTGTGCACCTATCTTCCTGAAAATTTATAAGTAAAAGTTTAGAAATAGTTTACGAGAGACCTCTAAAACTCTTTGAAGTTACAGTATCCATTTAAGCTAAGTCATCTTAGCCTTGAGGAATTATCGACCCAATGACATCCAACATGTCAAAGATTGTGTGAAACACAGAAGGGTTCTGCATGAAGGGAAAGAACTCTCACATGATCTTCAGGGCTCTGAAGGGTGCAGATCTCTAAAAGGAGTTGCATATCAGCCCCATTAGCAGCTGATACATTGGCAAAGATTAATTGATTGGAGGAGGCAAGAACTGAGTGAGATGGAGGGAAAGTCAGAGAAATACAGCAACCATTTATCACTATTTAGCAACTTTTAGCAACATTTATCTACCTCTTTTCTTCAGGACAGGGATTAGGGTGAGGCAAGTGAGGCAGGAAATTTCAAATATAGGGTGGTATCCTGTCTTTATTTGAATTTTTGATGTTTTGTTCTTCGTGAATTTTTTCATTAATTTTTAATACTTTTAAAAATATCAGTTAAAATATTATTTATCTTGATTAAGTTTCTGGCACCTCTTAAATTTTATACCCTAGTCCCAACCCCATTCTTCTCTGAATTTTAAATTGTGGAATATGGGAGTATTTCGTTGGGCGATTCTCCAGAAGGACTTAAAAGACTCAATAGCAGGTTGTACTCATAGCTAAGGTTTACTACAGCAGAGAATACAGAGTAAGAGCACCAGAGAAGAGATATGCATTGATAGAGTACAGAAAAGTCTAGCACAGACTTCTGATGTTCTTCCTGGTTCAAGGATGCGTAGGAGTACTCTCTCTCTAGCAATGAACTTTAGGGACATGTGTGGAATGTCTCTACCTAGGGATGCCCTTTTGAGTCTCAGGATCCGAGACCTTTATGTGGGGACTGGTCACATATACCTATCATGCTACACAACCAGCCATGACAACGGAAACTCAGGAGCCTAACAATAAAACCAAGTACATATCATTAAGATTGATGCTTATACAAAGCAACTTGACACACCAGTGTGTTATGGTCCATCAATAACTAACACAAAGAACACTCAAAGGGCCACATTCCCTGGGGGTCAGTGAAGGTTCCATCATGGTTCTCTTGGAGACACGCAACTAGTAAGCAACCAGACCTGCTATGTTAACTCTTTTCTTCTACCACATCATGTGGAAAATCAAATATTGCCTTTACTGTAAGTAGCAGTAGTGCTAATTTGTGGTAATTGAAGGACATGGCTTGGACCCATGTCCGCAGACTTCCTACTATCTTTTGAAACCTAGGCCTTGAGATAACCCAACTATGGGAGAATCTGTGGCTGCAAAGGAGAAGCTTACCCACCTAGGTGGAGGAGATATTGTTGCTTTTCACAACTTTTAATCCCCGCCCCCAAATGAGGCTACAGACAGCCTGCCAGACCTATTTGTAGAAAACAGACCTTAGGCCCACTTCAGACGGGCCTTCCAAAAGGAGGACACTGACAAGAGAGCAGACCTTTCCCTTGAGCAGA